GATTACATTTTCACTTATTTTCGTCGTTAGTGTTCGAGCTTTTTTTTTTCACAACACGCTTTTGTCTTCATTTTTTTTTTTATTCATATTTATTCATTCTATACTTTTTTTTTCTCCTTTTGTACTCCCCTACTACCTCTCTTTGTAACTGTTTGTAATTATGCACAGTATCGGTGTTGTTTTTTTTTTTTTTTCGTTCGTTGAATAAGAAACTGGTTTACGATGAGAAATAGCACAGACAGAAAAAGATTTGCAGTTTATCTCCATTGGTCGGGTTTTTGGCTGGTGATCTCCCATTCAGGAATCACCGTATAAATCATTAAATTAAAAAACAATTGATCGATAGAGTTGCGTATACTTCGGTATATATTTTAAGTGGTATTTGTTCGTATTGCAAAATAGTAGACGCAATTAATTCATTACTACGTTAATTATATATATGTATGCTTTCTGTCGCTTGAGTTTTGCCTTTTTTTCCTTTTCATTATTCTCTTTTTTTTTGTATGCAAGGAATACCTACCTTAGATCTTATTTATTGTCATCTCTCCTACATCGATGATTCGAGACAATTTACGTGTAAGGCAATCTACGTTCTCGCTTCCATACTTTACCTGTTTCCCCCTTACTCACACGTTACCTTTTATTGACGATAAATCCGCTGGGAATTTTTTTTCTTAATTCTGTAAAATGGGCGAATTTCGAATTCGAAAATTACTCTCGAAGAGAGAAAGAGAGAGAGAGAGAGAGAGAGAGAGAGAGAGAAAGAAAGAAAGAGAGAAAATAAAGACGTAGGTAGCCGTACTGGTAGTTTGTCTTGATTATTAGCATTTTACTCATTAGTAGGCATACCTAATGCATCAGGTTACACACGACACCTTTACACACCTACACACTCTCGAAAAAAATGATAATGAATTAACGGTATTCTAAATGTAACGTGTATATGATGGCTGTACAAATGTAACATTTTTTTCCATTATGTATGATGATATTAATGATAATGAAAAATGGGAAGATTTGATGCAAAAAAAAAATGTGGTATAATTGAATTTACAAAAAAAGAAAAAAGAAAAGAACACGTGTGCGTATCGATCGATGCGTGTACGATTATATATATATATATATGTAAACACGTGTCTGTACATATATATATATATATATAGTCGATACGAGCCTCGATCAATCGATTCACTCCCGAGTGATTTACCAATAAACTACTATTACTTTTAATTCTTATAAAATACCATTTCTGTAATAACATTATGATATAAAACCATACATTGAATGGCAAGATCTGAGTGGTTTTGGTGTCCCGTGCCCGTTTTGTGTTTCCTTGCCGGTCTTATCTATCCAATCTGTATTGTAAATAGTGTAACGTGTTTTTTGTGTACCCATCGCGTGTGAGGATTGTAATGAAACGTTTTCGTATCGTTAAAGATAAAGTTTATTGTTACTTGTTTATAACTGATTTTTGTTGGCTAGAAATTTGCAGATTTCACAAGAACGAAAATAGTCGGAGAGAACAGAGTACGTACGACAAATCTCGCGTAAAATCAAGCGACTTTTTTTTTTGTTCCACTTACGTCTCGTAACTTCGTGGGATAATTGTACCAACGTGTACTCATGATGGTAACATGAAAAGTTATTATTATTATCATTGTTATTATTATTGTTATTATTATTATTATTAAAAGAATCACCGTCTTAAATTCAGCGGGCCAATGTGGCTGCGAATATAGTTTGTATAATTATTCTTTCTTATGTTTATTCGCTCTCTTCCTTGGAACGCTCCCTCTCGGAGCGTCTAGATTTCTTCTTACGTCGACTTGGACTTCTAGACCTGGATTTATGCCTACGAGATCGTGATCTCGAACGATGTCGATGTCTGAAAAAAAATAAGGGAAATATTTTTAGATTAATTCAAATGAACAGATTATACAAGTAGGTAGATAATGAAGTCGCCGAGAAATAAAGCGACAAATAAATGAAGAAATAAACTGATAAATCGCGATCGTAATAAGAAACACAGTTACGGGGGAAAAAAAATTGTTCAGATAACAATTTTATGTACCGACATCGCCTTATTTCTTAACTCTGCACCGCTTTATTACCGGTCTTTGTGTCGATACTGAGATCGAGACCTATCGCGATCTCTTTCCTCGTCCCGCGTCATCGAGTCCCTTTCTCTGTCCCGTTCTCTAATCATGGAATCCTTTTCTCTCTCACGATCACGATCTCTGTCCTTATCTCTTTCTCGATCCCTTCCCATCGAATCTAGCTCTCTGTCGCGATCTCTTTCTCTTTCCCGATCTCTCTCGCGATCTCGAGAATCTCTGGGTGGTATTAACGGAGGGATATTCGTAGGCGGTACCATGGTTGGTATCGTTTTCGGACCGGTATCTTTGTCGTCCTCTCCCTCTGTCATAGGAATGGCTAAATTTGTCGGTTGCCATGTCTAAAGTAAAAAAATAATCACATTTTCTTCTGTTATTGAGAAGATAGGTAAAATTGTGTCATATGTACCGGATCATTGCCCCATTGGTTATCTTGCGTAGGTTCGTAACTCTGATAATACGGATCTGTTTCTGGCATGTAGAAAGGGGCTGGTTCTCCAGGATATCCAGGAGGAGGCATGTCGA